GATTCGAAAATAACGACTATTCAAGAATCTAAGAACTTGAACCATTTTCCACTCGAAGAACTTATTGGGTCTTTAATGACCTATGAAATGAATTGTATGACACATATTGAACATGATGAACTTGAGAAAACCTTCCAAAGAACAGAAAAATTTTGACACTTAGAACAAATGAAGACCATTTGAGCGAAAGCTCAAGTGATGATGACTTTGAACTCTTGACTATAAAGCTTAAAAAATTCTTAAAACAAGAATCTAAGAACAAAAATAAAAGGAATGCGCAACTACTTGCTATGAACGCAAGAAGAATGAAGCACTTTGGGACAAAACGAGTACCTCCAAAGTCGAGGAGCAAATCGATGAAGACAAAGTGGCGAACTTCGCTTTGATGACTCTCGACGATGAGGTAACCAAAATCCCTTTACTTTATTTTGAAATTACTAGATGCATTTCATATGTTGTTTTTAAATTAGTATATAAAATACAAATAAATAAATAAATAAATAAAAGGGGATCATGCTTTTCTTTTGAAAATGATAATGACAATTGCATGTTTTATGAAAATATAACAAAATGTTAGATTTAAATCTAATGATTAATCCTATATATGTTTTTAAGAAAAAATAACGTGTGTCCTGATGATTTCCATATTGCTTTTCGATTTTGATTAAAAACGATTTATGTTTAATGAAGTTATGCTTGATAAAATAATATAATGATGATTTGAAGTCACGCTTAATGAGTTTATATTTCGAAATTATGCATGATGATTTTTGTGATTTATGGCTTATTGATCTTTGTCATAATGAAAGTTACTTTTTCGGTTTTAAACGATGATGCTTGTTTTTGTTTGATATAAATAACAAAGACATGCTTGTATGAAATAAATCACATAAATTGAAACAATTATAAAGAGGAAAGCATTTTTCTTGAAATTTTTTTTCTCTATCTTATCGATTTTTCACTAAGAAATTAATGAAGTTATTTATGTCATTTTGAATCTCTTAAAAGTAATTTTGATAATTTGACGATTTGAATTTGAATGAGTTTTATCTAAATCATGATCTTGATTTCTTGGAATTACTTGAGATTTTTTTTAATCAAGATCTCTTCTTTTTACTCTTACGATTTTTCTTGGTATTTTATTTTAAGAGGAGATTTACTATATGAATTATGAGAATTATGATACATGAATCGAGGTCCTTTATGTGTTCTCCCATGACTCTATTTGCTATAAGAAAATTTTTATCTATATCATGATCGATTTTGAATTCTTGGAATCAAAACTTAATATTTTCTTTATATGAATCAAGACTTTTCATTATTCTCCTATGATTTTACTTGCTATATATTTAAGATGAGCTTTTCTATATAAATCATGAGATTTCTTATGCATGAATCGAGATCATTGATTATTTGTTCTTCTACAATTCTTTTGTTGTTTACTAAAGAGAATATCTTTTTCGGAATTCATGACTTAAAATTTCTATTGAAGATTTTTTACTATTTGATCTCCTAAGATTTCCTTTTGATTATTTAAGAGGAGATTTGTCAAAATGAATCATGTCTTTTGGTATTCACATGATCTCATCTTTCATGATATGATTTTTTATCCTTAATGTGATGATATGAAATTATGCAATACTCATGATATTATGTTGATTCATACAAATGAGAAGTTAAGATTATGCATTGTAGGATGTAATGTAATTTGAAATTTTGATACCATCATGATTTGAATTATTTATGATTTGGAATGATGCATACAATGCTATGATTTGTTGCTCATATTCGAGTACTAAGAATATAACCAGCAAGATGTTTAAGTCCAAATTTGAAAGGAAAATTCTTGATTTGAACTATGTCATGTTGAAGTCCATTATCACCTGTTTTCAAATTTGTCTCCTTTGCCTATGTTTACCTTAAGCGACCATACATGCAAGTGAAGCTTTATTGTCGAGGCTTTTTCATTTTTATTGAAGTCTAGGCTTAGAGTGGAAGGAGAGTGTTTTGAAGAGGTCCATCAACTGTAAACTATAGAGATAAATCACTTATTTTGATATTAGAAAGAAGCCCTTCTATAATATTTCTGTTGAGAGATTTTTTATCTATTACAGATCACTTTTCTTCAGTAATTCTGAAATTAAGCAACTGTTTAAAGGGTCAATTTATTTAGTGACTGAAGTCAACCTTCTAGTTGCATATTGAGTATCTTGTCCTTGTTTGTTGCTGATGCTTATGTGCCATGGATTTTTCTGTGGTACCACTCACTATATGTTAGAGGTTGGCTTGAGGATGACCTAACTATACATTGGCATGAGTAAGTTCAGCATTAAAAATTTTTTATATATGGATTGTGTTGAATTTTAGAGCAAGTCCATCATAGTAAATTTACATAAAAGATCATATCCTTTTCTTTGTTCTTACCTACACCTGTCAATACTTCTTCATTGTGTGGGCTGACAGACTTTGGTGCCTAGGTCAGTAGTTGGTGCTTCACTCTCTTGTTTAAGAAACAAAATATGCAGGCCATTCATCAATTGGATATGACAAGGTAGACTCAGTTTTCAAGCTACAAATAGCATATCTGCTAGGTAGTTGGAAGTAATGGTAGCTAGACTTGAGTACTAGCAGATTTAGTATACTCTCATTGAAATAAGCATAAAATGTTTACACTGTCTGTATAATATTATATCAAATTGTATACCATCTGTATAACTTTACATCTCAGCTGGCAATAAACCAGCATGCAACAGTCAAATGTTTGTGCAATAAAATTTAAGCTTGGATCATGTTAATACATGATGTGACTATTTTGTCTGATGCTGGCTGATACGAACAAAGCAAGGTGCATGCCTGCATCCTTGTTCTTGCTTCCTATTGCATGATTGGCCCTATGCTAGTTTCTAATGCTCTTGCTACCAGTTTTAACTCAAATCTTATGTTGGCTGAAGAATGAGTTAATCCTTTTCATTATCATTGTTGTATACAGAATTTGCTTCTTTCTCTGTGGTTGGTCAGCTTTTCCACATTCCTTGCTACTGCTTGCTGATTTTGTTTGTTTATTTAGAAGTAAGAAAGATCTAAGGTTCAGGCAGATGTCTGGTCCAGCTCTAGTAATTTTAATTATTATTCTTTCTACTAGCTGGGTATAAATATTTTCTTTTAATCCTAGACAAAGTGCATTTTCATTGCATTAATGTATTTTTCATCCTTCTCTTGATTGATGGAGCTCTATTGTATAGTAATGCACATATCAATATCTCAGACCCTCAGTGGGACAGCCTATCATATGAAACACGAATACAGTGCTCCAATGTATCTCATCATACTGGAAAAGAATAAAATATACTTATATCTTCCAAAGTTTCTCCGTGGATCTGCATCATCAGAAGCCAATACTTAGCCTGATATGCAAAAAATTGTGTTACATAAAGATATTCATATGTGAGTAGACCACAGAAACGAGTTTCTCTGAGCTGCTACTGTGAAATACCAAGCTCATTATTCTGCCATTCAATGATAACACTTGTTTCCTTAAATTTCCTTGTAATTGTGCTTGTAATTTCCACAGTAACTATGCTTCCTAACATGTTTCTACCTCTTGTACACCATTAATGGTGTGGAATTATGGTTGGAAACTTTTCCTAAGTTACCTAATCACTAGCATTGTTTGCTTTGCTTTTGCATGTCCATGTTGACAGCTTGTTGAGCAAATGCCATGTCACATGTTCATATCGTTGTTCAGGAGTTTGCACGAATCAGTGCCTTGGGTCAGTACCCTATTAGCATGGAATGTTTTGATATGTATAGCTCGACATGACTGGTAGACAACCCATCATGGGCAAGTCATACTTCCATCTGTATTATGGATATATGTTATTGATAAATCGTTCAAAAATTATCACAAAACCAAGCATGTCTAATTTTTTTCAGTTATTTATAAATTTTTGTAGTTTTGGTCTGAGATCCTTATCGGCATACCAACACATGATATGCTTGCATACCAGTTGGCATAAACCAAAGAGAAAGAGGGACTGATGATGATGGTGATGATAATGTAATTGCTGAACAATTAGAACTTTATATTTCAGAACAAATTGTATGGCATGCATGTGATTGCTGCTACTTGGTTCACTCATTATCATTTTCCTTATGCAAATTAATCCAAGGACATTGATATAATGTTTGTAGTCTTGGTCTGGGATCTGTATCAGTATACTAACACATGATATGTCTGCATACCAGTTGGTCTAAACCAAAGAGAGAGAGAGAGAGAGAGAAGAGGGGATGAGGAGTAGGAAAAGAGGTGCAGAAGCAAGATGAGGACAAGAGGGAAGGAGAGAGGGACAATGAGGAGTAAAGGACTGTTGACAGTCAACAGATGCCTAGAGTAAACATAAAAAATAAAAATAAAAAAACTAATATTGCACTGTATTGGGCGAAATTCTCATTCCAGGTTGGACATATAAATCCCATTCAATGCATACTAGTCCAACTGGCTTTTAAACCTTGGTCTAGATGCATTGTATTAATATGCTACTCAGCATGGGTGACCCGCAGTTGTGGGTCGTTGGACACATGCACACATTTTATTTTATTTTTATTTTGTCCATATTTCTCTTGATATTCTTTCAAGGCCAGCTGCATGTTGCTTTTTCAATTAGTGAAACTGAATTGGAGCCCATCATACCATTCTAGTATTCTCATGTTACCAGAGTACAAGAAATTTTCATGCTTTATGGATTATTTAGAAGCAATAAATAAATCACAGTGTAATACTAGCAAAAACATAGATTGTAATTGAGTAGTTTCATGAACCGGTATATTCAATTATCCATAGGGACAGTTCTTGCTCCAAATTTATGTATCTGAGAGAATGGAAGATAATGCGTCAGCATCTATATTTATGTTGAGTTTAAGGTTGTTTCTGTCATATGAGACTGGCCAGGATGAAACTAATTCTTTTAATGTTTAACTGGCCATTTGTCTTTTCAATGCAGGTCATTCATGAATAACGTCTGGTACATCAAAATACTTTCACCTGAGGATATGCTGAAAATGGGAAAACAGGGAGTTGAATCTTTATGTTAATCCCTCTAGAAATTCAGGGAACAAGTGAGGGTATGTTCTGTAGACAAGTTCTATTTCATGTTGTTTGTGAATGCAGGTCATTTGTGAAATTTGGCTTTTCAATGCAGGTCATTTGTGGATAACGTCTAGCATATCAAGATACTTTCAACTGAGGAGGTGCTGAAAATTGGAAAACAGGGAATTGAATCTTTCTATTAATCCCTCTTGAAATTCAAGGAACAAGCAAGGGTATGTTCTATAGATGAATTCTATTTCATGTTAAATAAAATAAATTACTAAAGCTCTCTTTCTGCTTTAAATTGTTCTTGTGTGGTGTCATTGTTAGTTGTACTACCTATGGAAATAGACTTGAGAATATAGGAATGTTCCAAGTGTCTTCATACTTGTAAATTTTTTGTGTGTCTCAGTTGGTCTAGATAGGCAAATCAATGGGTTTTGGCATCTTGCAAGGTGTTATGGTTTCAAGATCGCTATATGATAGGAGTCCACTACATGAGCTTCATGTCCAAAACCCACTGATTCAGGAAATTACATGGGATTATTTTGGTGTATACAATTGAGAATTTATTTAACAAAATTGTTAATTATGCAAATATTATCAAAGCTAAGAGGTTCTTCTTCGGAGATGATCTCATATACATGATTGTCAAACCTTGTTCCTAATCTTATGGGGGTTTGCTGCATGGTCCCTTTTTCCCTTAATTTAGCTTTGTGAAGTGACATTCTATATGATGATCCAAATAAATCTTGGTCATCTTATAGGTATCTTTTTTGCAAGGATTGAAATATCATACCGTACCGGAGTTTCGAGATTCGCTCAGTATAGTACGGTACTGTATATCAAGTGGTATATTTCGGTATACTGCTCGATATGTGTATATATATATATATATATATATAAGGAAAAATAAATATCACTCGGTAGCGAGCGGTTCGTGTACTGATCTACTAGTGGACTGGTACGGGCGGTATTATTTAAAATTGAAGACCTTGCTTCTTTAGTTCTCTCCCTATATTGTACCTCTAATATGAAACATATTCATATACTCATTTTAAAATCTATGCTTGAGGATTTGTATGTAGAATATCCTAATAATGCTAGATACAAATGTGCAATAGATGTTATATCAAAGATGGTGCTACTAGTTTGCCATTTCTTTTGCTTTTGGGTTCCATCCTTATTCTGAATTATTTGTGTTCAGTTGCATGAATTCCTTCACTTGTTTAGTTTTGCAAAGGAAGCATTCATTGAGATACTAAAATCCTGTCTCTTTTACTTCTAGTTAGAATAATTTCATATTCCATTGGCTCACTTTTGGCCATGTGTTAACCATGTTAGAGAATTTCATTTTGGCCTTCACCAGTGATACTTCAATTACAAATATTCTATATAAGACCTTTCTTATAGTGCTAGTCATCCATGACATCCTCAACTAGTCTCTAGATAATGTTGTCCTGTATGGTCATTATCTTGTTTTTCGAGGCATTTACATCAATAAACACCTGTTTTTCTGTGCTAGTTGTTGAAAGGCGATGATCACTTCACTTTCCGCTCGACATTGAAAATCTATGATAGACAAAAGATAGATGAATGAGATTTTTTATCATAGCGAAGAAGCTGAGACCTAAGATAAAGTCTCTTCACCTTAGATGAATGAGATTATGTGGTAATGCGATGCTCACTCATAAGAAGACTAGGCTAGGCTCGAATAGCAGGGAAGAAAAGCTCTTTGGACTAGCAAAAGCAGATGCCTTGCTTACTTTGAATCAAATTATTCTATGAAAAGAGGGGATGCTCCCTCGTTCACATCTTTGTGACGATCGGTGGCTACCTTTTTAAGTTTCAAAAAAAACATCTTCAGTACATTTTAATAGCCTTCTCTAGTGTTAAAATTGATATTAGGGCTTCAGTAATTGACTTTATTTCTTTGGTTTTATCTAGTCTCATAAATATATTTAATTGTTGGTTTTTGTTGTAAATATAATCCGTAGGCTATATCCATAGCTTTTCTCGTTATCTGCAAGTTGTAAACTCGAACAAGAGTACCCATCACTTTTAATGCATATATCATATGATTCCAAAAGGATGATACCAAGATAATATCATTGACTCGTCTTTCGCATCTTTGTCCTTTTGCTTTTCACATCTTTTGTCCATTTATTTAGCATATCTCTTCGAGGTAAACATATTTGTAAGGTTGTGCTTTTGTCTTTGTATAATTTATATACTTAATAATGTTAGAAATGAAGTAGCAAATCACGTGATATCAATTAATTCTTTGATCATGTTGAAGGTCTCAATATGATTATATATAAATCGAACAACAAAAGTTGCATGGGTCTTCTTGATTTCTACATTCTTTTCAATATCCTTTGACATTAGATCAAATACAATGTGTCACTTGTGAAGTCCAACATAAGTGTGGGTTTTTTTGGCTCGGATTAATTTATCTAAAAAGGAGAAAAATTAAATTATTAAGACAGTTGCTTCCATTTAATTAAAAATTTAGAACATTCAAAGGAAAAGTCTTATGGACTAAAACATAATTGCTTATAACTTGAACAACATTTTGTTCCATAATTTCAAGCAACTCAAATGTTTTTCACAAACATGATTCCTAAAAGATAGTTGACCATAAAATTGATTTTACTCCTTTGTCTGCTATCATAGGGTACAAACATATGATAATATAGCAACCATATTTTGCTCATGCATCCTCGTGACTATGCATCCTCGTGACTCTCATTTGTGTAATCCAACTCTCTTTTCAGCAATGAAACTCTTATCTTGAAGGTTTAATTAAGGAATATATCTTCATGATAACTTATCTCCTACAAATATCCGAATTCAAGCTTCATAACTGAATAAAACCATTTTGTATAAGAAAAGATGAAATAGTAGTGATGCTGCTGTTAATCTGGAATCTCACTCTCGGATTTTAGACTGGAGGTTGAATCGAAACTCTTGGTAGGCTCAGTAGTGGGGTCAGTGATTACTTTTCAGCTCAATCAGATCAAGAAAAACTTTTGGAAACCTTTTGTTGACACACAGAGTGCTAGTATAATAAGATCGACCAAGGAAAATTAATGTTAATTTACCTTGTTCGTGCTTGATCGTAATGCTTCTAGTCAGTGTTTTGCAGCATTCACATGGTAACCCACAATGGTTCTGGTTGATATCTTTGCAGGTTACCCTCTTTTCGGCTCTCAACTGGTGCTCCTTATAGACACTCCTAGCATGATTTTGTTGTTCTCAGATTCAGTATGATCTGCAAGATGACCGATAATATGCAATTTGATGGTATTTGCTCTCTTCCACCAGATATAAACTGGATATTTTGCTGCTAATCTAAATTAACTATGATTGTAACTATACTTCAGAGTACATCGAGATGCTTGAACAAGTATTATTTTGGCCTGTTTCCTGTGCGACTACTTGTTATGAATAGCAACTTTTGTCCAGCTAGTTCAAACTTGTCTGGGATAACACCCTTTTCTCCACGTTTGAGGTTCTCATCTTATATCTTCTGTTTGATTTGGTGGTGACATGTCAATTGAACTATCCTGATGGTGAAGCTATCGAGTACTCGCCTATGCTGTGTTGATGCTTACTAGGATCCTAAAGATTCCCTGGTAATATTTTGATCGAGCTGAACCAAACTATGGCATCGCCCACCAAGCCGACATTTGACGTTGCTCTTTATCTTAGATGCCAACTGTTTTTGGGTACATCTATTTTTGTTTTGAGTTCTTTGCATTCAAAGAATAAATATCGATCTATTTTTTTCTATTATAGTAGTTGTGTTATGCAAAGAGATAAGGCTGCTAAAATGCAACCTACATAGGCCGATTGGGTTTCAAGTTTTACCTACTTGATTAGGTATTTATACCACATTTAATCGGTAATTAACGTAAAATCAATAACCTCTTACATTATATTTATTTATATATATATATATATATTTATATTGCGTCGATGCATCTACCTCAAGAAATATCACATCATAATACTAATTAATCTATATGTATATTATGTGCATGTGCAGCTGTGTCCTGAGGCAAGGAGAGAAGGAAACAGTCCCCACAGCAACACCAGGATCAATCGCCATCATCGTCTTCTTCTTTTGATCTAACTTTCTGAAGATGTGCTACAGGAGAGAAAGGACAGCAAGGGAAACAATTTCCTCTGAACCAGGAGACCCCATGATGGCGCTGTACGTGGAGGCGAAGGTGGATTCTGTTCAAAAGCCTTCCCCCTTTGCTCTCATTGAAAGGCGACGAAGGTGGCAGATAAAGGAGGCACCGTCATCATGATGGCGAGGAGAGCTGCCTTTTGCAGCCATGCATGCATTGGCTTCCTCCTCGGTGGGGTCTCCGGTGGCGCCCCCGCGCCAGCTGTGTGATCCATGCCCTCCTCCTCCCCCTTCTCCTCCTCCTCGTCTCCTGCCGGGCACCCTCCTTAGGTGGCTGCACCCCCTATGCTTCCCTCCACACGTGATCCTGCTCCCACACATCACCTCCTTTTCTTCTCTTTATATTCCGAAATCCCCACCCGCCGTCTCTCTCTCTCTCTCTCTCTCACACACACACACACACACACACACACACACACGACACATGCACATCCTGTATGCGCGTAGGAGGAATGGGGCACCGTGAAGCCATCGATTCGTCCTTTGATCGTTCTATTGGAGCAGCATGCAATCTTTCTCGCTCTTCTCTCTTTTCAGGAGGTGTTAATGGCGGACAGGAGTTCTTGGCCCACCACTTTGGGAGTTCACGAATGGTTCACGCCGAGATACTGAGGGCGGTGAGCTTACCGCGGTCACGGAGGAGGTGACGGGCTACGGGCCTGCAGTGGATCCGATGTATGGTTTAACGTAGGCAACATCGGGGTCTGAGCCAATGCATGCTCCTCGGGATCTGGTCCCGGAGTTCAATCTTAGTACTCGTTCCAGTAAGTTCTTTCAAACTTGAAATTGATTTTTATTTGCCATGAAATGTTATTATTTTAATCCATTCTTAACATAGATTTTATCTTACAAAAAAAGAAGTCAAATTGCTGCCCTAATAACACCAAAAATACACCAACCATTTTTGTTTTTCATAAATAGACCATCTTTTGGTCGTTCCTAACAAACAATTTCCAGAATGATTATTTTTGTTTTGATTGGGTTGACAGGATTCTATCATCGGCAAGACATATCTATTCATGCACATTTAAATGTCCAACAACCATTATCGACCATCACAGTGTATTAATCATGTCGAATTTGACCTAATATTGTTGATGGGCCCAACGAAGTATGTCGGATAATATCAACTCTACTCATTTACTGTCCTTTTTATATCTGGGAAAGACTTTTTTTTTTTTGTGATTTAAGGTTAAGATGCATTTTAAATGTTTTTAAAGATATTATTTATACAATTAATGTCCTGAAAGCTCCATCTGAAGATGAGAACCGAAACAATGGCATCTTACATGACAGCATACATGTACGAGACACGACAGCTTTACGTAGTCAACCTCACTGCATCACCGTAATGATAACCCACCACCACCACCCGAGCAATGCAGAGAACGATGTAGGAAGGGGAGAACTCGGAAGAGGAAAGGGGGGGGGGGGAGTGTGGAAGGAGGGAGGGAGTCAAAGGCGAAGCATATCGAGGAGCCATTGAATGCGGTTGCTGGGAGTCTTCTCATGCACTCCCGCTGCTGCACACTTAGAAGTGAAATCCCGGCGTCCCTGCGGCCTACTGTTGCCCTCTTTGTTTCCTTCTTCTCTCTTTCTGTGGAACTTGTCCGGAGAGGACAGGAAATAATTGCTCGCAAATTTGGATCTCTCTGCCGTCCTCGCCACCATCATTCCATCTGCAGCAATTCCCATCATTCCTTCTGCCACCCTTTTCTCTCTCTCTCTCT